TTCCTGGTCACTTGAGTCAGCAACTAAACAAAGAAACTACTCGTCACCTGAGGTGGTAACTGACCCAGGATCCTCCTCATCACCTGAGTCAGTAACTGACCCAGGATCAGACTCTTTTTCCGATTTGCTCCAAAGCTCTCTCCAGTATTCATCCGTTGGCCATTCTTCTTCAGGTTTGACATTCCCTTTGTCATCCTGTCATAAATCACAAACCAACAATCAACATCACCTTGTCAAACAACATACACCTGTACTCCAACTTGTTTACCCTCGTTACTTTTTATATGAAGAGAAATTATGCCATGAGTATGTTTGACTGAGTTAATTTAAAACAACTTTTATATTAAGGAACGTTCCTTGTAAGCAAACATCACAAGGCTCACCAAAATTTAGATATATTCCAATTACATCCATGGTGGGGCCCATACTGATTAGGTTATTAGAGAATTAAGCTAAAGTGTTAAAAAAATATACATAACATCAAAGTGACCACCTCTCCTAGAGTCTTATAGGTACTTGACCTGACAAGCCCATGTAGAGAATACAACTAAAGGTAACCTTTTGAGGAAAAGGCTCCATAGTTCATGTGAGAACAAGGAACTGCTGATGTCTCCTCTTTAAAGGTTATGAATATTTACTTAGTGGCTCATTCACAGCCAGTACTCATTTTCAAACTTAAGAAACTGCAAAGGTGGACATTATTTGTGAGCATTTCAAATGCTGCAATAGTTTTGTAGTTCAGCAGCTCATCAACTTAGCAGTCTGCTTAGTAAGTTAATATAAAAAATGTAAAGACATATCACCAGTTAGGGCAAGTTTGATTCAGACAGATGTAACCTTCATTATTATTTTTACACAGGCTGATTAACAAGAAATTCTCTGGATAGAGAAGGATAAAAACATGTTTGAACAAAGTAACTGCAAACCATTGAAATTAGAGAATCTCTGCCTGAAAAATTTGAGAATAACAAAATTCCGTTAAAATCGTCATTTTTAGAAGCAAATTATTGCACAAGTTTGAGGGCTTCCCATTCAAAAACAAATCACAATCTCGTCTTTTTAACACTCAAATCTTCTTTTTCAACCTCATAAGACCTCACAAAACGATTTTTGTATACACTGCGTTCCTCTTTGCGTGTAAAATAATTTAATTTCGAAAGCATACATTTCTCTTCAGTAGAAGTACTTTGTGAGCAAAGTTAATTTTCAGCATGTGCTAAACCTTCAAATGGATTAAGCTTTGGGCGGTAGAATAACTAGAAAGATGTTCTCAAAATTACTGTAAACATTTCTTTGGGCAAATGATTGAGAGCGATACGAAAGCTTTTCAAAGTCCGTTAAAATGCAGTTATTTGACCTTTCGCGGTCAACATTCCAGTCACGAGTAACACACATACTTTAATATAATTCAACCCATATGACGCCGGAAAATGTACATGGGTGCACATTTCCAAATGCTCTAGCCTCATTACTGGGATACCTATGGTAGCCCAGTCATAAAATGCCTTTTTTTTTTTGTCGTCTTTTTTTTTTTTTTTTTTTTTTTCCTCCGCCACAAAATGGAAAAATTGCGCAATAGTACCCAGAGGTCATTGGGCCCTCAACACCATGACAACTAACTGTGATCCAATGAGGTGTTGACATGCTGATCACGCGTGCTATCTTGATGATGATTGACGTTGTCATGCACGGACAGGGCCGGGTCACATGACGAACACGAGATTTTTGCCCATAAGTCGTATTGTTCGCGGCCAATCCACACAAAAAGATGTTATTGAGCGGTAATTTTGGAACGGACTGAATCGTGAACGCTTGAAAGCCATGAAAGCATTGAATGCCTTGTATGTCTTATATGCTAAGTATGCCAATGTCTTTGTTGAAAACGTTAACTCGTTGTAAAAAGCAAAATCTGAAATCTGAAACCAAACTGCATATACTCTATGCAATCTATTGAACAACACTACTACCGTGAGACTGAAGAACAAAATTCAAATGGGTGCAAACTGCTTGTGAAGAAAGACGCCATGTTGGATTCACTTGATGCCAGGGAACGTAGCTACGATAACAGTGCGAATGGTATTAATTTCACGATCAGAAAGATGTAGATGTTTCCATTGTAGTTGTATGGATATTCTTTTTTAATAAATACATGATCCAAAATCCCGTGTTTTTTGTATATAATGTTATTATGTTAAGTATTGTTTACGCAATTGTCTTGTCACAGGCAACCCAAGGTCACGTCTCGAGAAAGAGCCAACGATTAATTCACGAACGCGTTACGCGTTGTGTGACTCAGAGTAAGTTATGCTAGGAACCGTTGAAAATTTGAACACGTTATTAGGAATAGTATAGGGAACGAAATATGGTCGATTTACAACGATAAATATTTCGAAATATGAAGATTTTTCTCGTAAAATCAATAAAACTTACTCATACCCTGTGTATCCGTTGTAGTTTCTGGCGATTGTTGCCGTTTTAAGCTTGCTTTACCGTCACTATTATTCAAGTCATCCACTTTTATTACATTGGTAAAATCTGTACAGACATCACACCAACCAACTATGTTGAAGGCTTGAAATTATATTACGATCGATTTTCATCAAGAAATGGGCCAGGAATTTTCCACAATAGTGCAAATAATCGTGAAGGCTGATCGTGGAAAAGCGATTGCGTGACGCTCGGTAAGCTGTAAGATGACATGTTATTATATACCAGACGTAAAAACTCTTCAGATTCTCAGTCTGCATTTTGTACCCACTCTGCAGTCTATATTTTGTAACCGGTCTGCAGTCCGCTGTCTACATTTTGTACTAACAGGTACCAATACAGTTTATTTTTGGTTACATTTATTCGCACAACACACATAATCTACCACAAAATACCTGTGTGTGAGGTAATTCGACATTTTCATTCTTTTCCGCGTTAATAATCTTCTTTCCTTTTGTAAGAATGTAGACCACTTACAATGTTTCAAGTAATCCACCCACCCTACAAAAAATACCTCTTGCATGCATAGCATGCCTATGTTTTGAGACAGGTGTATGCCCTTAGCCAGACTTGAGCTCACTATTTCAGTATACTAGTCAGACACGCGTAGTATCCCTACACTTGATTCCACGGATCCAGTACCATCCAGGTATCCCAGTTACCCTGCTCACAGGGTCTAGTATTTGCTTGAAATCGTACCAGTAACTGTGATCAAAAAAAATTGTTTCGGGAAAATATTCGCCTATAGGACGCACCCAAACTTTGGCGGTAATTTTTAGTAGAAATTAGGAATTTCTTGAAAAAAACGGTGCGCCTTATAACCGAATAACTACGGTATGTGCGACTCGCGACTGGAATGTTAACCGCAAAAGGTCAAATAACTGCATTTTAACGGACTTTGAAAAGCTTTTGTATCACTCTCAAATATTTGCCCAAACAAAATTTTACAGTTATGTTGAGAACATCTTTTCAAAATTCAACCACCAAAAGCTTAATCCATTTGAAGGTTTAGCACATGGTTAAAATTAATTTTATTCACGAAGTATTTTTACTGAAGAGAAGTGCATGCTTTCGAAATTAAATTATTTTAAGCGCAAAGAGCGCAATGTTTACAAAAATCATTTTGTGAGGTCTTATGAGAGCGAAAAAGAAGATTTTAGTGTTTAAAAGACGAGATAGTGATTCGTTTTTGCACGCGAAGCCCTCAAACTCGTGCAATAATTTACTGCTAAAAATGACGATTTTAACGGAATTTCGTTATTCGTATTTTTCTCTGAAATAAAAAGATATTTTGCCAAAAAAAGTATCCAGCGATTTTAGTTATAGCCTAGCCTATCTAACATTAAAATAAGAAAGAAATCGAATTTTCCACCCTTGCCACGATATGTTTGATTTTTACAGAGAAGCGCTCTTAATATCTAAAAACACGCGGCCTCCTCACATTCACGCGCACAGACTGGTAACGCATTCAATTTCGTTTTACTTTATTTTCTCGTTTTTTCTCTGGTTCTAATTATGAAAGGAATAGATTTATCGAGGTTAAGGAGATGAAATTAGGAATGAAATGTATCCAGTTTCTGTTTCCACTGTAGATACACAAAATAATATTGTTTAAGACACTCTACACACTTCAGACTTCACCCTTCTTTAAACGTAAACAAACATACTTAAATGGGCTCTCATCTTAACTGAAAAAAATGACTTGCTTTGCTTCCTAGTTTAACAGATCAAATGGTGGCGACAAAGAGTGACTGTATAATGTTCTTATGCATGTAAGCCTTTTCAGTAATTCGGAATGTAAAACCTTTAATTGAAATCATTAAAATCATTAAAAAGCCACAATGTTTGCTTCGCTTTGGATTTCCTCTCTTATTTTGCCATTCTTTCAAAATTTAATGAACGCTAGCAAATGTAAAGTAGTTGTAACTAATACTGAAAGTTTCACCGTGATTAAAAGTCGAATAGGAAGAAAATTTCTGCACACTGTTTGGTACCTCGATTCTCGCTTAACTTTCCACAATACAGGATAGCCCTTCAGCGACAGATATGCCGTAAAAGAAGAAAACTGAATTTTCATGGTGAACAATCTTTTCAGTTCTGTGTTATTGCGGGCTAACTGACAAAGTGATTTTTAACGGCAAGAAACTAATACAAGGTGGTCCAGACTTCCGCCCGTTCTTCCAGAAACACAGCAAGAAGTAAATGCAAACAACAAAGCGACAGCGATGTAAACAGCGAAATAAGAATACAACTACACACCCTGGTACTTACACATGTCGCATGAAAGAATTCAACGTAATTACAAATTACATGACTGTATAGAACTGATTTGAACTGACTGGTGGTTTATTTTTCACGAGATAAACTTCAATCTTGTTCTATAAAAGCAAAGGAAATATTGCACTTGCTCCGCGAACCAAGGGCGTAAAAATTCGTAACACAAAACCACAGTTAATTGAACAGAATAGAAATGAATAATGACTACATCTGCAAACTAAGATCACAAAACTTACGTGGTAGAGTGTCGACAAAAGGGAGATGTTACTCTGACGTACAGCTGCACTCAAATCATTCACTTGTTGCTTTGTCATTTTAACATTAGAAAGCCACAGCCACTCCAGGCGAGGAACACGGCTGAGATGTTGAGTGAGAACACCTACTCCTTCACCAAGAGGGTTTTGTGACAAGTTGAGACCGCGCAGGCTAGGAGACTGGTGCAGAGATCTGGCGATGGCTGCAGCAGGTTTGGCTGTTAAATTGATATTAACAAGTGTTAATGTGCGAAGTCTGTCATTGAAGATGATGCGAGACACCAGGGTCTCTGTCAACTGAGCATCAATGACTTCAAAGGGTTTCCCATTAATAACTATGCATCGCAGCGCAGTGAAAAGTGGCAAGAAATCAGCCAGCATCTTCATCTCTTGCCTTTCTATGTGGTCAATATCAATCTTCCCCACACAGGAAAGGCTCTGAGGAATCGGACCAGTGACGCTATCAGTGTTCTTAGTCAAACACGAAGCTGTTTCGTGGTCTTGTTCATTCAACGGATCACCAACACGGTTCACCTGAGTAGACTCTGCTGTTGGCGAAATGAGCTCTAGCAGCATTTCAGTCGGAAAAGTGCCACCATCTTCTTTTTTCCATATTTGATTAACATAAATGATAATTTTTCTTTCTTTCTTCAAAAAGAATTCGCCCAAAGAACGACACGGGAACTTCTTCAGCAAATCTGCGGCTTTCTTTTCGCCTGAACAACTAAAAAAAACAGCATCTGTGTCCTCCGTTACAGTGATCAAGTCTTGATAGCTTTTCTCTGAAGACTCTTTGTTGGGAGGAAAAAAGATGAAGTCGGGTATCTTTCCAGATTTTAGCAAATGTTCATTTGCAGTAATGTTCAGCTGGTTAGAATCAAGACACATAACACCTTCAGTGTAAGAGGAAAACACTGAGCTGAGATCTTGTCTCTTCTCGGCCGAACAACAAATGTAGCTATGCGAGATAAGCTTCAGATACAGTTCTTGATCTTCAGACAGTTCTTCATTCTCCTGAAGTAACTCAATGAAATCACATTCTGACAAAGATTCCTTTCTTCCAACAGACCCTACATGATGGAAAACTGTGTATGCGGCTTCTGTTGACAGCTCACTAGCAAATTTCAGAACTTCATTCATCTTCACGATCTTTTCAAATGATTCAACTTTGGAAAGGCTAGGCGTACTTTCTCCTTTAATCGACAACACTTCCTCCTTAATGTGCCAGGCTGCAAGGAACTCCTGTACGGATTTATGAATGAAATAGGCCCCTTTCTCAGGATTGAGACTCGTAAGATTGACAATCTGGAAAAGCCCAACTTCACTTAATTTTTGAAAACTTCTTGAAATATTTCCGGGGAGTTCGCTACAGCGTACGTAAAGACGGTCTTGCAGAAGTGCTTCAAAGGCAACCTTTCCAAGATTACTAAGGTCCTCTCTGGCTTCTGTTGAGGTCACTTTCTGAAATGGCATAGGCTGGTGACTTTCACGTCTGTGATCTAGCATGGTTTGAATGAAGTGTGTGAATATGTCGGCCCGTAATTTTGGCAGTCTTACGTGATATTTTTCTTTCCACAAAGTACACAGCATCAGTAGGAGGAGAGGTATTTTTGCCATGTCACCGAGATCTTTAGCTTCCAGGTAGGACATGAACTCGTCAAGATCTTGCTCACTTGCCAAAAATTTTCTCGCATACGTTATTTTTCGTTGCCAGCTTTTGAAACCTTGAATTTCTAACTGAACGTGGTTCAGGCCTCTTAATTCGTCATATCCAAGTTGCTGCGTGGTGACAATAACATGACAATCTCTTAGTTGTTCACCCTTCCAAATTTTAAGGATGGGTGAGTATTCTTTTACACAGCTGTACTCATCATAGCCATCCAAAATAAGAAGCACTTTATCTTGATTGTTGATTATGTACTCATAGAGACTATCAACTGAGATCGGACCATCAATGGCCAGCAATTTAGATGCACGTAAAACATCGCGGATGTTTCCCACGTCACACACATCTCGCAACTTAATCAGAATCAAAACACAAAAGTTCATTAGGATTTCTTTTAAGGCTTTCGACCAGTCATATGCAGCCTTTTTACAAAAAGTACTCTTGCCAATTCCTGACCGACCATAAACAAGCATTCGTTTTGGTTTTCCCTTGAACATGTCAGTGTAGTCTTCAAGTTCCTCTTGTGTCACTCCACTGGGCTTCCTGTGATCTCTCACCCAATTCAAAGGTGTGTAGATCTCATCAATCTTAATGGAAGAGCTGTCGTCCCATGGAACGATTTTCACCTTACTGAAGGTAGCATAATAATATTTTAGCATCTCTTGGCACTTCTCAACATTCAACGGTTCTGAAAAATAGAGAAAAGAAACGTGAATTTTCATTGCTGTGATGAGTAAGCATACAACGCCAAGTTCCCAAAACCATGCGAACGCTAGCCTGCCCAACAAACGCAATTTTTTGGCGCTTTTCAGTCAAACTGAGGAAAGGGTGAGGCGAGTGCAAAGTCCGAGTTGAGTGCGAGGGGAGAAGCTCCAAAACAATATATTATTTTCATTTTATGATCAATCATTAATTGTCTTAATAAAGGAATACGGAAATATATTTTATCGTCTTGCCACAAGCGTTGGACAAAAAAAAATCGAGTCCTCCCCAGGAATAGAACCTCAGACTAATGGATTCCACGCTCAGACACTTCATTACTTTAAGTATAATATAGGTTATTAAAACGTAAGCTTCATATGAAATTTCTTCACTTGATAATTATAATACCTGCAAGCCTTCTACGTTTATTTTCTGAAGGATCACCACTTTTGCAACCCTCCTCTCCAGTTGTAATGTCTGCAAAAGAGAAAAGAAATTTACACTGTTATGAGAATTAAAATACACTGACGAATATGATACTGAAGAGATAAATATGCACACGATGCCAAGTTTCTAACATCGCACGAACTCAAGTTCAGTTTCCTTGGCATGAAAGGATTAAGATAATTAATTCCATGCTGCCACGCCCCCCCCTGCAAAAAACCAACACACACTCTGTTCTTTAATTTTTCCCTTTGTCTGTAACTCTTCTTAAATCGCAGGGAAGATTAAATTTCCAGCATTTATTTTATGATGGATCAATAATGTTGAGAAATGAAGCAGCCCAAATAACATAAAAAAAAGGTTCGTGAATTTGTATTTCTTAAAATGTTTGTGCAGTACTGTTTCTTGAACAAGAATGACAAACTGGTAGAAGAAAAGGGAAAGGAAATAAGTTTGATTGTCTTGTCACGAGCGTGGGACAAAGGAACAATTTTGAGTCCTTACCAGGAATAGAACTTGACACCTTCAGATTCCGCGCTCGGACACTCTACCACTATATGTATACTAGAAGTTATTTAAACGAAAGCTTGATATGAAATTTCTTCACTTGATAATTATAATACCTGCAAGCCTTCTACGTTTATTTTCTGAAGGATCATCACTTTTACAACTCTCTTCTGTTGGAATGTCTGCAAAAGGGAAAGGAAAGTCAAACTGTAATGAGCATTAAAACACACCTTACTAAATTTGTAAAATGGGTAACAAGCAGGAGTTGAAATAAGTGCTGATCGAAGATGAAAATCTCTTTGAGCTTGATCACAGTTTTAAAGAGAGAAGAGAAAATTGATAGACACCAAGAATTAAAATTCATTGGAACAGAGTAAAAGCTAAGATTTAGATCTCAACAAAGTTTTAACCCTGTCAGCAATAGTGAGGTATTTCTTAGAAAGGTAAACAAAGAAAATTTGGGTTCATCTTACTGCGCACAAGAGTCTGGACACAAAAACAATAATTAGGAGGGCAGGGGGGGAGGGTAGTTGATAAACGTGTTTAATCAGCGATTCGTAGTACCTACAATCTAGGACAAGGAAAATAGATTTAAGACTTATTAAATTAAAGGAAGATGTAGAAGTGAGTAATCACTTATAAACCCTCTTTAATCTGGAATTTTAGAACGTTATCCATGACTTCAATATTGGAATTAAAGCAACCAAAGTGAATTTGTTCATATATCTGACTTTTTGAAAGTTCTTTTTCACAGCAATGCGATTGAAAAAGTTTGGAGCTATTTTCCTTAAACGTTTCTTAATGAATTTGTTTCAAGGCCAATTCGCGCCATTGCATCATGCATCCGTACTGTGCATCATGTTACACGAAAAATGCATGCCCACATACGCGAACAGAAATATATCTGTAACCTTACGCTTACAGTTGGCAGTTGTGTGGTGAGTGAATCGTGCGCTACCAGAAAACTACATAAAAATATACAAACGCATCAAATGATCTTCCTTCGTTTTGATTTGGTTACCCACATATGGAGTGACACTTTACCTGTTGCGAGGCACTGTCAACAACGAACACAGAAGATACAGTGGCCAAAAAGCATGGTGTCTGAGAATTTAGGCACTATACTTGTATGTAATAGTATTTTTATTTAATTACAAGATAAGTGATATATTACCAGTGATAAGTTGCTCAGCTAAATCTGTGCGATTAATCAATGGATGACACAGTGCATCATGTAGGATCTTGTATGTTGCAGTTAAGCCATTCCTCTCTTTCCAATGTAGTAACATTTTGTAGATTTTTTCAATAAATTCCGTATTTTCATCATCAATCATCATTAATTTTACTTCCTCAATTTGTAGACGACGCCCGAGTGTCTTCCAATTTTCGAGTTTCTGCGAAAGCCACTCTAGATCTTCGTCGCTGGGAACTCCTTGCTTAACTGAAAACAGAAAGGCATCACAGAAAAGCATCAAGATGAGGGGATAGCGAGTAGTACGCATCGCAACTATTTATGCCATTTTGCTGAATCCACGCATTTTTATTTTACAAAGGCAGGGGGAAGGAAGATGGGGTTGGGGGTGGGGGCTAACGGGCACGCCCATAGATATGTCCTCATTTTACCTCTTTTCTTTGGAGTTGAGGCGTCACTCGGAAACTACTCTTCATCACGACGTTTCACCTTTGACCGACGCGAATGTTTAGTAACAGATTCATTGTAGTAATGGAGCTATTTCCTTTCCTAATGAAACGTCTCTTAATGAATTTGTTTCAAGACCAATTCGCGCCATAGCATTATGCATCCCTAATGTGCATCATGTTACACGAAAAAATGCACGCCCACAATGATCTTCCTTCGCTTTGGTTTGGTTACCCACAAATGAAGGGACACTTTACCCGTTTCGAGGCACTGTCAACAACGTACAGAAAAGGTACAGTGGCCAAAAAGCATGGTGTCTGAGAATTTAGGCACTGCACTTGCATGTAGTTGTATTTTTATATAATTGCAAGATTAGTGATATATTACCAGTCATAAGTGGTGCGCAAGTTGGCTATACCTAAAGGATATTAATGCAGGTCGAAATTCCAGTAGGGATATTGCATAGATGGCCGAAATGAAAGCAAAAGCAAACAGCTTGATAAATGTTCTCTTCCCTACATCAAAGGGAACATTACTCTTCGGGTCTTCCATTAGTGTGCATGGAGACTAAACCTCTTCCCAACTCGAATTTGCCCCAACGAAACATAAAGTATTGACCAGGTTCATTCAATAACTTTGAGATATACAACGTTCATCATTTTCTCAGCAGTTTCCTTTGATGATAGCGCACTCAGCGAAGGGATCATGTGCTACAGAGACAACTCGTGGCACTTTAACAAACAAGGTTTCATGTATAAAACAACAAATTTGCTCCAACATAACTTGCAAGTTCATAAGGGTTAGCATCCATTTCTAACAGGAGTTTATTATAGGATTACTCTTACTAGTATTAAGAAATGTGAATCAAATGTTCAGTTAGCAATGATAATTTGGTTTCATTAACTGAGTTGATAACGTAAATTGGCCTCTGTAGAGAGATTCTGAAGCTGATGCTTCGAGTGTTAGACCTTCGTTGGACCGATTAGGAAATGTGGGTTGGGTGTGGTTAATAAAATGGGGGTTGGGCTGGGGGGGAGGGAAGGGGGGTTAAGGCAGGAGTTTCTAGGTGTATTATTGGGGGGTCGGTGGTCTTCTTCCCAGAGGGAAAAATGCTATCAAACATTCAGCGGTTTCAAGAAATATTTAAGAAAAAAAAACAGGTATTAACTTTTATTGAAAGAATAAATATGCACACGATGCCAAATTTGTAAAACCACACAAACTCAAGTTCAGTTTCCTTGGCATGAGAGCATTAAGGTATTTAACCCCTGCCGCCGCGCTCTCTCCCTTCCCCCAAAAAAAAAAAAAACCCACACTCAGTTCATTAAGTTTTACCTTTCTCGGTAGCTCTTCTTAAATTGCAGGGAAGATTAAATTTCTAGCATTGATTTCATCATGGATCAATAATGTTGGGAAACGAAGCGGCCAAAGTAACAACAAAAAACTTCATGAATTTTAATTTCGTAAAATTTTGCGGAGTACTGTTTCTTGAACAATAATAACAAGTTGGTAGAAGAAAAGGAGAGAGAAGAATTTTGACTGTCCTGTCACGAGCGTGAGACAAAGGAACAATTTTGAGTCCTCACCAGGAATAGAACCTAACACATCCAGATTCCGCGCTCGGACACTCCACCACTTTAAGTATAGTATAAGTTATTAAAACGAAAGCTTACTATGAAATTTCTTCATTTGATAATTATAATACCTGCTAGCCTTGTACGTTTATTTTCTGAAGGATCATCACTTTTACAACTCTCCTCTTCAGCTGAAATGTCTGCAAAAGGGAAAGGAAAGTCAAAATGTAATGAGCATTAAAATATGCCTTACTAAACTTGTGAAATGGGTAACAAGCAGGAGTCGAAATAAGTGCTGATTGAAGATGAAAATCTCGTCTCTAAAAGAGAGAAGAGAAAATTGATGGACTTCAAGAATTGAAGATTCAGCGGTTTCAAGAAATATTTAAGAAAAAAAAACAGGTATTAACTTTTATTGAAAGAATAAATATGCACACGATGCCAAATTTGTAAAACCACACAAACTCAAGTTCAGTTTCCTTGGCATGAGAGCATTAAGGTAATTAACCCCTGCCGCCGCGCTCTCTCCCTTCCCCCCTGCAAAAAAAAACCCACACTCAGTTCATTAAGTTTTACCTTTCTCGGTAGCTCTTCTTAAATTGCAGGGAAGATTAAATTTCTAGCATTGATTTCATCATGGATCAATAATGTTGGGAAACGAAGCGGCCAAAGTAACAACAAAAAACTTCATGAATTTTAATTTCGTAAAATTTTGCGGAGTACTGTTTCTTGAACAATAATAACAAGTTGGTAGAAGAAAAGGAGAGAGAAGAATTTTGACTGTCCTGTCACGAGCGTGAGACAAAGGAACAATTTTGAGTCCTCACCAGGAATAGAACCTAACACATCCAGATTCCGCGCTCGGACACTCCACCACTTTAAGTATAGTATAAGTTATTAAAACGAAAGCTTACTATGAAATTTCTTCATTTGATAATTATAATACCTGCTAGCCTTGTACGTTTATTTTCTGAAGGATCATCACTTTTACAACTCTCCTCTTCAGCTGAAATGTCTGCAAAAGGGAAAGGAAAGTCAAAATGTAATGAGCATTAAAATATGCCTTACTAAACTTGTGAAATGGGTAACAAGCAGGAGTCGAAATAAGTGCTGATTGAAGATGAAAATCTCGTCTCTAAAAGAGAGAAGAGAAAATTGATGGACTTCAAGAATTGAAGATTTAGATCTCAACAAAGTTTTAACCCGCTCAGTAGCAGTTAGGTATTTCGTAGAAAGGTAAACAAAGAAAATTTGGGTTCATCTTACTACGCACAAGAGTCTGGACACGAAAACAATAATTAGGAGGGCAGGGGGATAAACTCTCTCTAATCTGGAATTTTAGAACCTTATCCATGACTACAAAATTGGAATTAAAGCTACCAAAGTGAATTTGCTCATATCTCAGACTTTTTGAAAGTTCCTTTTCAAAGCAATGCGATTGAAAGACAAAGAATGCTTATGTTCTTCAGTTTTCTGATATTTATTTAACTCCGCTGTTGCTCTCCATGTTCTCATCAGCAGATAACGATACTCTCTACAAAGGACAACAAGCAAGCGTATCAAGAAATGGTCTATTTTTCTGGCTCAACTTTTCCGTTAAGCATCAAATAAAAGCCCTTCTGTAATTGGTAGTACTGAGGGACTTTGGCCGAAGGGAGGCGGAAAAGCTCGTAACTCATCGGGAAAATAATGGGAGTGACAATTGTTTCTGCATAGGGGGAGTGGGTAGTGTAAATATGCACCAGTTAGATCAATCTCCATCGGCGCACCCAAGGGTATACTTGACCCTCGATGAGCGCATTAAGCCAAAGGTTCGTAAGTTTAAAAACAATTAAAGTTATCCGTATTGCAGTGACTCATTTAAACCACCTATCTCTATATGCAAGTCAAGTCGTCTTGTAAAAAGTCAACGCACAAAAATATTTTTTGGTCTTACTACTGATGATAAATGCAATCGAAAATGACTGTTTTCTGTAGAGAGCCTCGAGGCATTAAAGACCTTGTTTCTGGCGCACAGCTGTTTTCAAACAAGGCGCTCGTTTTTTAGAACCAACATGTTTACTTAACTGAGGCGTTGAGAACAATTTTCAAATAGGAGGGGTGGGGTTTTTAGCTACGTCAAATTTGAATTTAAGGGCCTATCGGCCAGAGTGTGTTATTATCAGGAATTGTGGGATAGGGGGGTTAAAATCTTCCAATGAACCCTTGAATACCCCTTTCTAAGTATAAAGAGGGTCGTAAAGGGGTGTTGGCATGGCTTTTACGGCTAACGGTTAATATCTTTTCATTGTTGTCACCATAAATTTTTCTTACAGTTAACTCTTTTACGACTAGCGGTTACGATTTGTCAATTTGTACGACGAACGGCTAATTTTTTGGCCGTTTTACGGCTAACGGTTAACTTTACAAAGACCTTCTATTAAACACTGTTACTGCCAATTTGTGATTAGGAAAAATGAAAACCGTGATCAAAAGTATCTAACAAAATGACTGATAATAGGAACTGATCGATTATCAAATACGATTGAGAAAAAGATTAAAATGGTATCTTTTTTTTCCGTTAAGTGATTAAATATGTTCGAGACGTGAACTATAATGATTCTCATTTCACAAAATGTCAATATTAATCAAAAATATATCTATAATCTTGCAGAAGATTGTGAGAGTTAAACTGCTCAGTCTTCATGCGACTGCGGAAAATTCAATACGGAAATCTAATACTAAGGGAGAATTAATGAGAGGGAGATATGGAGAGCGAATCAGCATTTACTCAGAAGATTCGAGTGTTCCAACTCAAGAGAATGAATTTCGGTTTTGTACGTGTCACTTTTATAACTAAGGATGGAATTGAACATGAAAAAATAACATTATTTTGTAACAGGGAACGTCAGGCCTCTGTGTCCAACCATCCGGTAAGATGGATTTTCATAACAAGATTCATACCAGTAGAACCTAAGTTTCTTTCTTTAATCGGTAAGCTATCTGTGCGCGATAATCAACTTTTCATGAACTGATATGGAAAACCAATTGGCAGTTTATTCCGCAGTGAATCTATTTCGGTTTAGCGCGCTCACCTCTATAACTTCAGATGGATTTGAGCATGCAAAAATGAAATATTTATTCTCTTTTAACAAGGAACCTCAGGCTTCACGGTCCATCCCTTTGGAACTGTTTGATTTTCATCACAAGATAAATCACCCTCTCACTGAAGCTTCTTTTTATCAACGATAAGCTATCTGAGCGGGATAAACGACTAATTGTCTTCGTGCACTTTTCATTTTCTAGCGGGTGTGATTTGCACAATCAAAGACATAACTATTAACAGTTATAAAACAATTGAGATAGTTCGATCGAACTCATAGGTCTACTAGTCAGTTTAGACCAGAGTCTGTAGACACAGCTAGTTGTGACGCACACTTTTAATTTTTGCCAGCGAAATTTGAAAACATTTCAAACTCGAAGTTTTCCCAATACTTGCAGTTAACTTCAAGTAGAAATAACAAATATTGGAATTGGAGGAAAATTTGCCAATTTTTATCTGGGGTTTGGCTACCTCCCATTCTACTGTCTTATCGCTGAGCCGCATGCTTGGCACTGCAGCTTTTAATACACCCTGCTCGCGCCACCGTGCACGGCCCTTACGAACGGCAGCCCTTGCGTCCTTTTGATATTGAGATATGCACATATTGATTTGATGCTTCGCTGGCAGCATTTTGAGACAGAAAACCATAGTTTTCCGAAACAGTGCTGAACAAAACAAGCTGACTGCGTTGAACAACAATAGCAAAAACTCTCTTAAGACACACGCTTTAGCACGCCCTTTTTTTTTTGGCGCAGAACGCGAAAAACGTGCGAAGGTTTTACGTGTGCGTTGGTCATCTACCTCTGAGCTAGTGTAAGTTATCGAATAACGGCTGAGAGCACTTCACAGCATTCTTTGATTAAAGTTAAACAACAGAAAAAAAAGTTGATATCTCAGATAGGAAATAATTTCTCTTGAAATTAATTACTGGAAAAAATACGAAAACATTTAATGGCATTGAGCTATATACATGGCTAAAATAAGTAAAAAACAAACATTTTCGACACTTGGACATCATCACCCTGATGATGACCTACTGTCGACAACATACAGGTTTTATTTTTAAAATATTTTAGCCTTTAACAGTATCTTTTATTCACCTTTCATTCTTGGAAGTTCCATACGTAGCTCTCCTGGTTCTAGTTCTTCTTCAGGATCAGACGTGGGAGATACAAGGAGAGGAACCGTGTCTAAAAACAAAGGTATACAGAGAGAGATAAGCATTCGATGACTTTTCTTTATTTAAATAGTTAGAAACAAGCATACCAGCTTGTATTTAACGATAGGTACATGAGCACTATAGATTGCCTTTTTTAAACCAAGAAGCTTAAAAACTGAAAAAAAAAAAAAGTGGAGAAGTGCTAAAAAAATTTTTCAGTCTACATGTAAGTATTTATTTATATGTTCATTTTCACATGGGAACTCAGCACTTCCTAAAACTAGAGAAGGGAATGAGGTAAAAACACCTTTGAAATAATTTGCATTGACCAGTATTATTTTTCATAATTGCTGACAGAAGCATTCTTGGTATTAATAACATTAATTTCTACTTCAAAAGATGACTAAAACTACATTCAGGTTCTTTTTTCATTTCTCCTTTCTTTTCCTAACAGCTTCACTCCAACAGCTTTTTTGGCCAATTTATGCACCTATGAATTCTTCCATTTCTTCAATATCAATACATCAAAACAACAAGTCAGTGATTTGCCATGTTGGTTTCCTTTTTACTGGAGCATGTGAGGGGGAACTGAAACCAAACTGGAGCCCATGCTAGGCTTCAATGAGTCAACAAAAACAACTGAAAGTGGTAAACCCCACACCTTTTCATTCATTTCAAAATGGTTTGATATCAGTTAAAATCAACTAAATGGACTTAAAAGTGTTTTTTTATTTCCCAATAACAAAAGAAAAACTCAACCAACATGAAGAACCATGTTTCAATTAAATTAACTTGAAAAATAGGTTCAAACTGAGCATCCTGTTCACCTGTCCTTCCCCTTGATTCTTCTAGTTCTCTTCCATGACCAGTGGTGGGTACTACAGTGAGGGGTGAAGTACCTTAAGGTGAAAAATTCAGAGAGAGATTAGCATTCACAGCCTCTCTTCAATGTTCCCATAAGTGGAACTGTGTACAATTTTATTAATTTATTGATGCCATAGTATTGCACTGAGATTATTCTCTAAAGATTTATCACATGATTGTTATTACTGTTCACAACAACTTCCCACAATAACTTAAGAGATTTTTAATTTCCTTTTCACCTCCCAATTTCACTCTCTCCATAATTGTTGTCTTCTGTTCACTTTTCCCCCATTGTTCTTTTATTTGTGGACTTTCACTAGTTGAACTTGTGGAGCGAAATTCAGAGGATAGAGCACCTAAAATCAGATTTACAAGAAGACAAACATTATATACCATAAACACACCTCAAACTATTTTTAAAAACACCCAACATACAAGAACTAGTAAAATTTTCTTCTATAGTTCCTCCAACAAGAGTCTTGCTAATTAATCTTTGGGTGATGTATGTAATCTGAGATATTAAGGAGAGACAAATACAATCCAACAGAGAGAAAAACATTGAGCCAGATGTCTTGGTAGGAAAGATAAGAGGTTACTGGGGGAGGGAAAGATGTTTGAGAACATGTCTTGCAAACTAATTACTTCTCACATTGGCATGGTTTACATATTGCAGTCAACATGAGTTTTTCATGAGAAAAGTTCCATCAATCTTGATAAAAAAACTGCTGGGACCCATCAGCCTTCATGACATGTACCCTACTATACTCCATGTTGAAAATCTGAGGGACTTCATTCAAAAACCTTTACAAATATTTTATGATAGAACTAGGCCTTGTTACATTCTTGCACCAACCTCTAAGTACATCTTTCTCAAAGAGCATTTTGCATGCATTGTACTCTTCTATGTCCATTGTAGTCTTCAGCCTCAGCTCAGCTAGGTTCAGTTCCTTCAAGATCTTTTCAGTAACAAAACAATTCTGAACCACTTCACCAAGATGGCCAGATGAGTAATCTGTCCACAACTTCTCCAAGATCATTAGAGATTCACACTTCACTGTTATCAACAAACTTCCAAAAGAGACACCAGTAATGATGAGCCTCATTTCTTTTAAGTGTTCCTTAAACTTATTGTGCTCTTCACTGGACTGTGGTGGTGTGGTCTTAAGATAATTTCTCACAATTGATAGAAAGATTTTCTCTTTACGAGCTTTGAGATCTTCTGTCTGTGGACAAGACACACTTTCAGATGCAGCTGATGGAGCAGATGCCCTAGGCTGCTGAACCTCTTGGTATCTGTCAGACTCTGTTGCCAGCATGCCAGTCTGCGTATTCTGTTCTTCAAGTTTCATGTTATCCACCTCAACCTTAATATCCAATTCATTACCTGTTAAATTGTAACAGTCAAATTTAATCCTAATATAACAAGGTTTTTAACATCTTACATATTTAACCATTAAAATGATTTAATTTAAGTAATTTCTTATAAACCTCTCTACTCTGAAATTTTAGAATGTTATCCATGACTTCAAAATTGGAATTAGAACTGTTAACTTAAAGTGAACTTGTACATAACTCAGTTTTTTCCGCAGCAATGATGAAAAAAAAGAATGCGTATGTCTATCAGTTTTCTGATATATATTTGCTTCCACTGCTAGTCTTCGTGCTCTCATCAACAGATAACAATATTCTATACCGAGGAAAACAAGCAAGTTACAAGATCTCTTTGAAGGCATAGCCAAAGCTTTTACAAAAATGTACATGTACCTCTGTAATGAGGCCAGTCTCCAAACACAAAAGAGTTACTAAATATGTTTGAGTAATTTCTTATTAACCCTCTCTAATCTGGAATTTTAGAACATTATCCATAACTTCAAAATTGGAATTAAAGCTACCAAAGTGAATTTGTTCCTATCTCAGACTTTTTGAAAGTTCTTTTTCACAACAATGCAATTGAAAAACAAAGAATGCGTATGTTTTTCAGTTTTTTGATATATATTTACTTCCACCATTGGTTTTCATGTTCTCGCCAGCAGATAACAATATTCTATACCTATTTTCATCGCCACATAATTGGATTTGGTGACATACAATTTACATCTATAGTTTGCAATCGAGCGAAAAGCTCTAAAACACTCTTTTCCACACAATAAGCAACTTGGGTAAAGCCACTCTAAATCTTCGTCACTGGGATGAGGGCTAATGGGCACACCCATAGATATGTCCTCATTTTACCTGCCAAACGAGTTTTTCTTTTCTTTGGAGTTAAGGCACTCGGATAACTAAAAATGAATACTTGCAAAGGCACTTGTAGCACATGCACACTTGTATCGCATTCTTAACAAATGTTAAAAAAAACTAATTGGGACAGATGTTTTCGGTCAATAGATAAGCTTTGCACAGCCTTGACAATTATAATTTTCTGCTTAAAAGTTTTAAGGTTTTTCTCTTGTTTAGGGCCATTTTGTGCGAGTGCATTACACATCCCTACATGTTATATATACCGTTTTGCACGTGATAAGAAGGCTCACATACACAGACTAAATTTTTTTTTGAGTTTAGAGACCTATCATTTTCTTGTCTTTTTAAAATTCGAGCAAAATACTTGGAAAAAACTATCCCTTCTGTAAAATAAACAGCCAGTGTAGAAAGACAGAGTCGTTAAAAAAGGAAGTTTACAACGGTATTTTCTGTATCTTTGCATTCTAGGTGTCATGTTGCTTTCCAGCATACTGATATTGACTTAGCTATTCATTGAAACATTTATCTCTGATGAAAAAAATTCACCAGTTCGTTTCTTACGATCAATGGATACCAAACCCTAAAAAGCAGGAGGAAATACTGGCAACCTTACTCTTACCGCTGGCAGTTAAGTAGTGAGTGAATTTTGCACTATCAGAAAACTACATGAAAAAAACAAAAACGCAACAAATGATCTTCCTTCGCTTTGATTTGGTTACCAACAAATGAAGTGACACTTTTCCAGTTTTGAGGCACTGTCAACAACGTACATAGGAGATACAGTGGCCAAAAAGCATGGTGTCTGAGAATTTAGGCACTATACTTGTATGTAATCATATTTTCATTGAATTGCAAGATTAGATATATTACCAGAGATAAATGGTGCACAAGTTGGCTATGTAATCGTATTTTCATTGAATTGCAAGATTAGGTATATTACCAGAGATAAATGGTGCGCAAGTTGGCTATACTCTAAAGGATATTAATGCAGGTCAAAATTCCAGTAGGGATACTGCATAGAAGGCCAAAATGAAAGCAAAAGCAAACAGCTTGATAAATATTCTCTTCCCTACATCAAAGGGAACATTACTCTTTGGGTCTTCCATTAGTGTGCATGGAGACTAAACTTCTTCCACCTCTAATTTGCCTCAATGAACATAAATTATTGTCCATGTTCATTCAATAATTTTTCGAAATACATGTATATAAAGTTCATCATTTTCTAAATAATTTCCCTTGATGACAGTGCACTCCACTAAGGGATCATGTGCTACAGAGACAATTCATGAAACTTTAACCAATAAGGTTTCATGTCTAAAACAGCAAATTTGCTCCAACATAAATCGCAAGTTCATAAGGGTTAGCATCCATTTCTAACAGGAGTTTATCATAGGATTACCCTTACTACTATTGAGTGATATGAATCAAATGTTCAGTTAGCGATGATAATTTGGTTTCATTAACTGACGTTAAAATGCAAATTTGCCACCACAAAGCTGATGTTTCGAGTGTTGGCCCTTTGTTGGACTGATTAAAGGAATGTGGGTTGTGTGTGGTTTATAAAATGGGGGTTGCGCTGATGAAGGGGGAAGGCAGGAGTTTCTAGGTATATTATTGGGGGGTCGGGGGGTTGGTGGTCTTCTTCCCAGAGGGAAAATACTATCAAAAGCTTGAAAACATCCCACCATCAATCTTTGTGGAAAGAAAATTAGAGTTCCTGTATGTTGAATTGACTTCAATGCCATTATCTTAAAGCCTGGTGCAACATACATGAGCAGAGCCTGTGAAATTGCTGATGAACATGTAAAATTTCTGATCCAAGAGCTGATCTGATTGGTCACCGCATGATCATGGGTCATTAATCATGTTTTCAATTCAGTTTTGGTACTCGGTTCCGGCACATTTATAAAATACAAGACTAAACAGCATACAAGACTATACTACAGGCCAAAAAAGATAAAAGTTGATCTGTTTACCTTTGTAATGTGGCCAATCTTCAAAAATACTGCATTCCTTTAGAATGCTGACAACAAGAGAAGCTGCTGTTACACTTGCAAATGTTTGCCAGTTTTCTTTTGATTCAGTTCCATCTGCATATCCTGAAATACCCTTGACGACAACCCACTCCATTTTCAGATCATGTGCTGCACTGAAAACACCTGAGACATACAATAACAAGCTATTATGAATAAAACAAAAGGTATTCTCCAACATCTATTAATTTTAACCTTTCCCATTGTTACAATTGTTATCAAAGATTTGTAAAGAACTAGAGATATATTTTGGAAAGTCACTTTACATATACAAGGTGCAGAGCTAGTGACTGTAGCACAAGCTTCTTCCTGGTCCCATACCATTCAGCCACTAAGACTGTACTCTTATTCACTCCACATATATATGAAATACTGGTCAATTCATCAGTAGCCATCTATACTCCTGGATATAGAGACACATTGTGAGAGTAAAGCCTCCCAGCCAAGACTAGAACACAATCACTTTAGCCCAGGGCTTGAACCCAGATCTCTTGATCTATTAAGTCCAGTATGTTCACACACAAGCCAGTGCATCTCTCAACATGCAGAAAAGCTTACTTACAACATATGAGTATCAACTCTTTCTTTCCAGGATACAAATATACCCAAATATTTCTTTAAGCAGATTTTACAGTAACAGTTACTTCAAAGGAAAAAGAGATCTTACCCTCTCCTTCTGTTTCAATTGCAATTGCTTCAGGAAATGACTTCACTAGTTCCTCTCGTCGCCATTCAGCTTGCACGACCTCAGTACCACTCAAAACCTCACCACAGAGGACTTCAACTTTCCTCTCTTTAGGATTTTCTAAGGGTGGATTCCAACCATGACCTGCACATTCAATGAGTTCAGCAATGTCTCTGCTTACAGGAGTTGTGAACCCACAAAATTTCTTTGCATCCTTTGTAACCTTCTGGTAGGAATAGGTTGTGAGCTTTTTTGATAGAACCACATCCCCAAGCTTTGTTGATTCCTGATTAATACCACTACAGTGGCCCACAGAAAAGACAGCTTTTGGCCTCAGCTGAGTGACAGCATTTTTCACAACAGTCAAAGCACCACCAGGAACTTTACAACCCTCTGAGCATTTCATCAAAGCTACTTTCAGTTTAACATCTTGATCTTCACCAAAGCTGCCAAAGTACACATGACCAAGCCCTTTTAAGTAGCTTCTAAATGGATCATTAATGTAATAGTAGCAACTTAAGAATTCACAGTTCTTCACTGTTAACAACAGAATGTCAATTGGAAGTCGAACATCCTTCCAGCGTTTAGAATTCTGGGTTAGTTCACTTATCTCTGGAAGACTAATATTGACCTTTGGTGGGTCACCATAAATGTTCTTTGAACTGCTCTTGTCAGTTCTCACAGTTTCTGACATTGCCAATCAGCTCCTGAAAATAAAAGCAATACAGAAACATATGAAAACTAGATTTTAATTCAATTGAATTCACCATATTTAAGCCTGGACACAATAACTATCCTCCAGTCCTGCCCATTTAATCAAAGTTTAATTCATGCACTGCAGAAATCTACAAAGACAGTCATTTTAAAATCATTAGTCAATCAGTCTGAAAGGTAATCTGGTGGGGAATTGGACATTTTTGAAAGAGAGAGCCTGAAAACAGGCTTTAACAAATAATCCTCAGAACAGTGTTGTGGGAAAGGAAACCAGCTGCCAAAAAGCTAAAAATTTACCAGTTGGGGATCACATAGAACCCAACATTTTCCATTGTTGAGCACTGCTTATTTAACAGTTTCAACCATGAAGATGGGAAAATTGACACCAAAAACAGGCCAAAAAAATTGCCATCTACTGGTTGCTTAATGTGTATTAAAAAATGAACTGATCTTCTGCAAATTGGTAACAGGAATAAAGAGCTGTGAAGTCAGGAAGCAAATCAAAGCATTAACACTTGATGAGGCAATTGATATCATCAGTGCTGGAAAAATATACACCATTGAGCTGAAGAACATAGACTTAAGGAGCTGTAGAAGCACCCTTAAGTATGGTCAAGAATCAAAAAAAGAAATCTGACACCACACAAAAGGTACTAATGCTGAGACTGTGCATAGAAATCTCACAAATCAATGCACATCAATTTCCTGCCTCTGGAAAAAATGTAACAACTGTCACAAAAAAAATCATTTGTTACAATCTGCACAGCCTTTGTTATATAGCAATGGAGGAGATAAGATAACAAGGGAAAGTTTTAACTAGGAGCTGTGTCAAAGAAATCTGCCAAGACTTTCAATCAAGTTGAAGAATCAGATGATGAACTACTGTTTTGATTCTGTGAATTGTCTGTAATGTACCTTTAACCTTTATTCCTGACTGTTCTTAAGTTATTGTTTACACATAAAATAGAATGATGTTATCATACAGAATTTTGAGAATGTTAACCATGATACTGGTGTAAAACGTATCCCTACACATGTACATGTACTGTGTAATGGAGCTCAAATCAAGTAGTTGTCAGTGGTTATCAGTTGATATACTCTGTTGCACACTAGAAGCTCTTATGCCAGCTGAAGGTCTCTCTATTATCATTGTTATTATCATAATTATTATCTTCATTTTTATCTCTATTTTTCTATACATAAATTTATATCTACATCAATTATACACACAAGATGAATACTCACTTTTCAAGTTGCTTCTCCTGTGAGATGGTAGCAGTAGTTGAATTAAACTCTTAGGCACTTGCTGTTGCTGGATTGAATCAATAATACCATCCACCAGATAAACCACTGACTCTGCAGTGTGGCCAATTGTGTTCACCCAGATTAATCACTGGGTAGTGATTAATCTGGTGGTCAGCAAAAAATTCAACCAGCTGTTGGAAAAATAACTGCTCTAGGAGAAAATCACTGAAAGTTGTGGCTGTTCAGTCAGTCAAGTATCAGAACACCTGCAGCTGTTGGAATGGATCCGAACCTAACCCCAATTTAGAATATTCTGGAACTCAGCTGCAAGGAAGTAAAACACATATCAATGGATTAATTATTATTATTTATACAATAAACTGAATTATACACACATTTTGATGGTTCTTACATCAAAATGTGGTAAGCACATCTGTGGCACATTAGACAGCACCTCATATGCCACTTTTTTGTTATTTGCACATTTTGATGTGAACTATGAACTATTACTAAACAGACACACAACAACACAAAATCTATTAATCAAAAAGAATATAAGCATGTATTCATTTATAACTGAATATGCATACTTCTCTAAACAATTACAAGTAAGTTGTTCAGACATTAAGTTTTAAAATAATGTAAAATTTGTTCTTTGCTCCTGAACACCTGGATGTGTAATTAAAACAGGATTTCATCTTTGAGTCAAATGTCAAAAACAAGAAATGTTGAGAGGAACAAAAGCCCTATAGCATCAATGAAAAAATGTTTCAGCTGAACATGATGAGAACGGTGAAGTAGATGATTTGCATCAGCTGTTTATAAAGTTCATAATTTATTTATCTCATGAATATCTCCCAAGATCTGATTGTTAATTCTCTTCTCTTGCTGCTACGCATTTCCTTGTAAATTGGTTATGAGAATTTGGTGTGCAATCAAGATAATATCTTGTGCCTGATAAATTTGAGTAATCTCTCTACCTGTTTGCTGGATAATGTATTGACACTATTACAGGGAAGTTACATGTTAATTACTTCTGAGAGTGAAAGGGATATCAACGTTTAATTGTATTGCAATTGAAGAGAACATTTTTTTTGGAATCATTGAGACTTAGCAACCAAGTCATTGCTTCAAATGGTGACTGAATCCAATTGTTTAACTAACACTTGGCACCCAAGTAAAGAAGTTACCCTGAGTAATAGTGATGAAATAAAAACAGAAGAGAGCATTTCAAAGTAGCTCAGATTAGAAACAAGAAGCTTGTAGGCACTGGAAATAATTTACTGTTCATTAATTACTAAACTCTGACAAACTATCAAGTCCACAAGTACAATCAAAATCATAAAAGCGGTAGATTAAAATAAAATAAACACCATACAGAGGAAAGAGACTGATAAGAGTGATTAAGTCACAAATTATGCTCCCATGCATTTGATGCATGATGAAGAAGAAATCTTAACAAAAAATTGGGCAAAGCAAAGCTGTTTGAAGTGAAGCCATTGAGAGTTAATTACTGAACTACAGGTAGAATTATCTCGCCATTCTAGGATTCAAACTTATTATATACTCTACAGTGTCATAGCAGTGATATTTGAAAAGTTATTACGGCAGCAAAGAGTAACAATTAAGATGTAGAACTATTGTCAAAATGGCAAATTTAATACACCAAAATTAACTTTAAGATAGAGATAATTCAATTTAAGTCTATTTAAGTGAGTCACAGTTAAGAATTCATAAAACGTTGGAAAAGGAAGCTGGGCAAAGTCATGATCATAAATACCTGTCGCATTAAAACAGCTCTAAGGACATCGTATCAGCAAATGATATTCCAGAATTATGATTTACAGTGTACAACGTTTCAATCAGGTTTAAGTAAAATTTCATATCGGGTGTCTTAGCCTTAAAATTTCGGTTAACTAACATAACGACTATTTCTCCTGACCGAGATGCTTTTAAATGCGGTAAATTTAGCTTTAATTTGCAAACTGATGTCGATTAAACGATATCCGTTACGTTTAAATTGATGTACTCTGTACAAGCATCGATTTTAAAAGAACAGTCTCAAATAATTGAAATAAAACAAACGAACAACCAAGAAACAGAGAGATACTGGAAAAACAAAGAATTTATACGTACAGCTTCCTATAAATAAACAGGGACATGATGACATAGGCAACTTTCACTTTCATGATGAAGCATTAAAGGCTGCTGATCTTATATTTACGTAGACAACTTTTTCAAATACCAATCTACAAAAATCATTTATACAGCTCTAAACTGTGCAACATGACTTTTTCTCAAGCGAACACGAGTAAGAAATCTTGGACATCTCGTAAAAACCATCTAAAAAATGCATTCTCGCTTAAGTTGGCAGACCACAACCTTACCTCCATCTTTAATCGACGATTGCACATGCTCGTGTTTAACGAAACTGAGTTACAACTGTTTACAACTTCAACTTGGCTGGGTGAAATTTACATAACGAACTGTTTTAAAAGTTCAGAGCCAGGCTGAAAGGAGGAAACACAAGGATTCTTTCGCTAAAATGTTAACTTCACTACATCGGTAAGTTGATTTCTCGAGGGAACTCTGCACTCCACTGCCACTCAAGCTTGCTAGTCACGTGATAAGCCACAAGCCGGAAGTGCTTGATGTTTCAAAAATATGTTTCATTGTTATTGATCGCTCCTTGTAGTGGAAATACTTTGGCTCAACATATTATGTATGACCCTTATGCCGCAAAAAGAAAGAGAAATGTTCAGTGAAATACTGGAGTAAAACCATTCCGTGACTCCTTGAGGACATGTTGAATGTTGCGTGACAAGTAATTGTGCCAAGTCACGGAATTGAATTCTCAACTTCACTGACATTTTATGAGCACGCAAGGTTGGAAACGAGTGCAATTCTGTGAAATTATTTCCGTTTTGGTATTCACCAAGATCTGCCCATTGTACCAGAGATGAGGTTCACCTCCGCAAACCGTTGCAGTATCTCAAATCAGTTAGTCTACAAAACATGCATAAACGACTAGACTATTCTACCTCATAATAAGAGGACGAAAGTTATTCGAGCAACACGAGTATAATTATAGACCGAATTGGACGTCACGAAGTCTCATTGCCAATTAAATTCAATCATAAAAATGACCATTTCCAAACAAAATCACACAAATGTCTTCCAAAATATTGTCATAGTTTATGGGGAAAAATTCTCTATTTTGAAGAAAGCCCCAATTTAGGGGTCTGTACACTGTTTTTATGGTGATTGAAACCAAGGTTGTGACTGGTTGATTTCAATTACAACTTTTGAATGTGATTAGCTTATTGAACTTTCCGATAACAACTTGGCAAGTAAATTAGTGGAAAACACGAGTTTTTTTTATACCAATCACAATCGAGGAAATTGTGATTTTTTTATGACTACAGTGGACAAAAAAGAGTAACGCTAGGCATTCATGAGGGAAAGCAAAGCTTTACAAGAACGGTTCCTGGCATTCTAAGGATGCAACGAAGAAATCATGAAAATGGTTCAAAATCTTTCTGACCGAGCCGTTCAGCAACAGAAAGAAAGAGAGGCTTTTCGTCAACAGATGAAGAATCAAGCTAATCAAGACAAGGAAGATTTAAGAAAAGCGTTGAATGAAAAACACGACGAAGAAATGAAGGCTCTACGGGATGAATTAAACGC